AACTGTTTGAATACATCATTTTCACTGACTTTACTCATTATTAAAGCAGTTTATGTTGCATGCGTGAATCAAACAAATCTAAAAAATTAGGTTTGTTTAGAATACATTAAAGCAACTTCAACACATGTGCCGAAGTATGTAACGGTGCCATGTTGGGTAAAGTTTTAAATTGGGCAGTGACAGCAGTTTGTTTACAGTTTAGGCTAAAGCTAAAGCTAACAGGCTACGAGAAAAGCCTTGAGGATTAGAGGGATGATTCACTACAGACTGTTGGTCAGTTTAGTTCTCTCTGCTTTGGATGAAATATGTTTTGTTTTTTTTATAATAGAGTGAAAAGATGAGTTTCACTGGTATAAATAGACTCACTTTTATTAGGTAAAGCTAAAGCTAAAGCTAACGTCCCATCGCTGTGATCGTCACAACACATGGAGCTTTACTTCCATCAAGATATAATCGGTTTTGTCCAAGATAAATAAAACACTCTTACTATGTGATTCTTACCTGATATAAATACAACTGTATAATACGAATATAAAACATGATACTGACTTTAATCTTATGTTAAATGTGATAGAATAGAAGAGATTCTTTACGCACCCACTATACAGAGTGTAATTAAATGTTTATTCTCTCAGGCTAATGGATTATGTTTCTAATAATAAAATATGATTCATATGATTTCCACCTGCAGCAAAATAAACAAAAGCGCTGCTAAAAGATCTGCTTATAAAACGCGTGAGAAGCCCAAACGCTCCGCTCTCGTCACTAGAAACATGGCACAGACCACACAGTAAATACATCTGGTACAATCAGCCAGCTAAGGTATAGAAAAGCCCAAAGAACACTGTTTATATCATTTACACAAGTCCATGGCAATGCTCCAGGCACGGCCGTCTGACCCATGGCACAAGCATATGATGTACAAATATATGTACACGTACAAATGGACTCGGGTATGTTGTGATTCTTATGGACGTGTTGGATACAAAATGTGCTTCTCTCCTCCCTGTCCTTGTGCTTTCTACTGATCTTCAGCTCTGTCTCTCTCTTCTCTGTCTATCTCTTTCTCCTCCTACTCTCTCCTCCTGTCTGTGTCGCTCTTTCTCTCCTCCACCGCCCCTCTCTTTCGTTCTGTATCTCTCTGTTTCTTGTGGCACAGTGGTATGAGCATGTAAACACAGCACTATGGCAGCTCCAGGACACAGTGGAAAATAGATTGTATACAGAAGTACATAATAAGAACACATCCAGCTAACCCACATTTGATCTGGGGAACAAAAATATGAACCCTTATACTGAGTATTCAAAATTACAAAATAATCATCCCATGCAAACAGTTCAAATTTATAACTTTGGGCAGAAATAGATTTGTATAATATTAGTTTAAATGGTTTATCTTAAATAAAATATGCCATGTATGTACCTATTCTTAATTTACCAACATATATTTGATAATTTCAGTCTGGAACACTCGAGAGTTTGGTCATTGGTCCACTCTGTTATGTTATGACAGGACAGACACCTCATAATCTACTAGCACGACCAACAGAGACTGGTCTCACAGCGTTGCCATGATCTGCTCTGATTGGTTAATCTGCCTGTCCGTCACACCCACCTTTTTTTTCCCATGTCTTTCATCAAAATTACAGATTAGGGGTGTAACCATATCCAAGTCTCACGATATCGTCACGGTATGAACCTCACAGTATGATATTTATTGCGATATCGTGGGAAGTCTCGCAATTAGGGATGTAACAATATCAAAATCTCTTGGTACGATATTTTCAAGATATACATCTCACGGTATGATATTTATTGTCATATTTTGTGGAGGCTAAACAGCTCAAACTGTTAATATGGTACTTTTTTCCTCTTAAATGCCTTGACAAGACTTAATCCAACGAACTAAGACTTAAAAGTGTTTAGAACTGTTATTTCTTCTTGTAGTGTGCACTGAAATGGAGCAAAGGATCATGGTCTATGTAGTTCCCTTTGTCTTTTTTAGCTATTGCTGCGCCAGAACTCTTAATTTAAGCAAAGAGACTTGTAATTCGATATATTTTGATGGTCCACGATATTATTGTGAGAACTTTGACGATACAGTATCATGATATTTCGGTTATTGTTACATCCCTAGTACAGATATATGGTGTACACAGCTCTTGAGTTCAAAATAAGTCTGCTGTGTACTGTCTGTATCTGTTTTATTGTCTAAGAATCAGGAAGTGCTCATTCACATGCAAGTAGTTCTGGCCTCTGAAAGCTGTGAAAATCATTTATAAGCTCATCACTGTGAATAATTAGAATGCATAAGGTAAGTGAGGAATAATTTTGACTACTGCAAACTATTTAAAATGAACTAGTTCTTTGTATCCTGGTTTTAATTCAGTAAAAATCGGATAGAGCACCTTAAAGCTTAAGTGTGAGACCAGCCAGACCACTGACCAAACCGTTTCTCTTCAACCTATGACTCCATAGACTGTATAAATGGACATAGTTAACCTGCTATTTGTCACGTTCCATATAGGAAGTTAGCGATCCCTTTGAGATCTGGCTCCAGTTCACTTCCTATTAAAAAACCATTGCCCTCTCTCCGTATGTGCATTATTCTGACCTTACAATGTTAAAATGTGATTTCGTACTAACCCCTACCTCTACTTGGGGTTTTTATTTCACTATTTAGGCTGTCAAATGAAGATATGAAAAATAATAAAAGACCAATCAGGTGTATTCTGTCCTTGAGGTCAGCTCCAAGCAACAAGTTTGGTTGACAGCTATCACAGCTCATTGTTAAGCACCCGCCCCCTGCAAATCCAGCAAGCGGGAAGAGGTGAGTACCAACAACGTCACTCCTGATTGGCTCTTTGATTGTGCGCCCAGATTTCATTTGGTTACAGACGAACGGTTTGGGTGACGACACACCAGAGTCATGCACAGGTCCATTTTAACCTGTGATTATATCAAAGTTATATCCGCACCCGCCCGGACCCATTAACATTCGACCCGCCTGTGATAAATTGGGGTCAGCCCATTAGTCTGACAGCCCAATAGTCCAGGACTAAACCAGGACTAAACCAGGACTGAACCTAAGCCGTGTCATTAGTGGATTATAAATATATACACGCCGGAACCACAGAGCTGATCCCCAGGACTACACCAGGACTGGACCAGGACTGGACCAGGTCTAAACCAGGTCTAATTCAGGTCTAAACCAGGTCTAAACCAGAACTAAACCAAGACTAAATCAGACCTTAACCAGGCACAAAACTAGGACTAAACCAGGACTGAACCAGGACTAAACCAAGGTCTAAACCAGGAGTAAACCAGATCTAAACCAGGACTAAACCAGGTCTAAACCAGGACTAAACCAGGACTAAATCAGGACAAAACCTACCGCTGCTTATATCACGGTGATTTTAGCGAATTTGTATGAAAAAAAGCGAAAAACCCACCACTTCAATCCAGGTTAAAAATGCATTGTGATGCATGTTACTGACATTTGTACCGAGTAAAATATATATATGTTTTTTTCACTGTAATGCCACATTACTGCGTTACAGAAAAAACAATGCATTACAGTAATTCGTTACTTTTTTATCCCAACACTGCTCACTGGCTTTTAACACGGTGTGAGAATTGTGTGCTCCTCTGACTATTTTTTATTGATTTTATTTGCCTTTTTTCTATTTGCTAATCTTAGTATGTTTTATGTTTTTTATTGACTTTCTTATTTATTAATTTTATGCTTAATTTGATTTAATGTGTTAATTTATCTTGTGCCTACTCTGTGCAGCACTTTGGAGACAAATAAAGTTGGATTGGATTGGACTGGATAATATGGAGCTCCAAATTCTCACCTACTGTATAACTACAAGCCTCGATGAGCTTCATTTGACTGGAGCCGAACGCTACGGGTGACGTTACACTCCCTCAGTCCACTTCTTTATACAGTCTATGCCTACAACAACAACAACAACAACACAGTCCCTTTTCCTCCCTTAGTAAAAAAGCATGAAGCAAATCAAAGCCCTGCATTTGCACACGGCACAATAATAATAATAATAAGAAGCTAACTGCACATCAGTGGACACAGCTAAGCCCTGTAATAGTCTGACACGAGCACGACAGCACACATAGTCCAGAGATGTACAGTTTTACAGTCCACATACTTAAGTTAGTCTTGGCTCTTGACTTTTAGCTTGAGCCCATATTTGTTTTTAAGACAGATTTTGAACCCGAAGATCATTTTGGGATAGGACAAAACATTGTAAAGCAAGGCATATAAAATTCAGCTGACTTAAGAGTGGTCCCGTACGCTAAATGCTTTAACCGATCCCATTTCGTTCCTGCTTGTACGTTGAGGAAATGTTAGTCCACCGCTGAAGTTCGTTAGACCAAAAACATGTTGTAATCCCATGGCACAGTGAAACGTACACATTAATAAGTACAAGTTCGTAAGTCTTGGTTAGTCCAGGTAATACAAATATGTCTGTGATCACGTGACCCTGTATTCACCGAGCGCGAGTCGAACCATTCTTCGATCGTAACCAGAACCGAAGGCACTTTAGAGGCCGTGTATCTGCCGGGGTCCAAGTGGTTTGAGAGCCCCCTGGTGGTGCTTAAGTATAACGCAATCCTGTCCATCTAGGAACAGTCGTTTAAGTGCTTTCTGGGGTTAGCTAAAGTAGACACTGCCGCTTTCTGGATGATAGTTTTACTTTAATTATGTTGACTTTTGAGCATCGCTTATTGCTATCAATACCTGACACTAAACACTTTTCTGCTTTTTAGGTAGTAACCAGCTAGCGACCGAATCAGAGGGCTCAAATGTACATTCAAAAAGGTCTTTCTTGGTGCGTTACTTGGAGTGAACAATTTAAATTCACATGGTTTACTGGTGAGGGTGTCCCGTAGTTTGTAGTTTCTGTAAAGGGCTCCAAATGTCTTCCCAACAACACAGAAGCAGCCTTTAATTTCACTGCGTCAATTACTGGGCTGTGTTACTCCTTATAGGCCAGTCCCAGAGTGGGGGGCGGGGTGTGGGTCAGGATTGGTCGAGGCAGAGTCGGGGGCGGTGTTGGACTCGGCCTCTGGAACATGCCTTGGAGCTGGCGGTTGACTATAGCGTGGTGGCTGGTGCTCTCCTGGAAATTCCGTAGGTTTTCCTGGAATCGCACGCTGCTCTCTCTCTCCAGCTGGTTGTTCTCCTCCGGGATCCTGTGGTTGGGGTGGAGATCGGGTGTGGGCCCTCTTTCCGGCTGACCGCTGCTGCCGTTGTCTCTGTTCAGGGTGGACTCGCGGCTCGACGACGCCACGGACTGACTGTCGGAGCCCCCGTCGCTGCTTGCCGCCGTTCCTTCCACGGGGGTGACTCGGATGGTGGTGATGGCCTGCGGGTGGGGGTGGAAGGGCGGGGCGAAGGCTGCGGGGGGCGGGATCGGGGTGTTGGGGTTGGGCGAGCTCGGGGGGAAGCTGCCGTGGGAGTTACCGGCGGGATTATTCGGCGGGAAAACTGGATGCGGAAAATTATTATGGCCGTTGTTGGGATGCTGGAAACTATTTGTGCTGACTGCGTTTTGGAAATGATTGGGATTGTTGGAATGTTGGAAACTGTTGGGGTTATTCTGATGGTGAAAACTGTTGGGGTTGTTGCTATGCTGGAAACTGTTGGGGTTATTTTGGTGGTGGTAGCTGTTTGGGTTGTTCTGATGGTGAAAATTGTTTGGATTGTTACCATGGTGGTACGCGTTGGGATTGTTTTGGAAATGATTGGCAGTTTGGTGCTGGAAAGTACTGGGGTTGCTCTGATGCTGGTAGTTGGGATTGTTCTGGTGCTGGTAGTTGGGATTGTTGTTCGGGTGCAGAGGGTGAAGCGGATGCATGACGTGTGGGTGGTTCTGGTAAGCCCCGCCCCCTCCGCCGCCATCTGGACCCGACTCCACCTCGATCTCGTTGCCGATGACGCTGCGGCGGCCGTCCGGGGGTCCGGAATCGCAGCTGTCCCCGTGGCGCCCCAGCTCGTTCAGGTTGAAGGCAGACTGGCGCAGAGAGGGACGCTGCTCCGGAGGTTTCCAGCGCCATGAGCCACTGCCGTCCGTGCTCGGGGGCTTCACCACAGGCTTGTTGGACTTGGACTCTGGGTGTGCCTCCACGCGGACGATACTGCCGGTTCTTTCCAAACCACCTGCAATAGCAAAAAGGAAGCCTGTTAGAGGAAGCTTCAGTTCAATTACAGTTGGGGTATTTTAAGGAGCAAACAACACAAGCAACTCTTAGCAGCTTAGCTTTGGTTGACTGTGTTGTTTTTGAAGTGTTCTAAAAATAAAGTTGAGTTGACAGCAGTGCAATGAAAATAGTACAAAAAAAGAAAAGAAAAAAAGCTATTACGTGACGCAACTGATAAATAAAAACATAAATTTGTAGTCCACAGTTTGAATGGAGGTTTGTAGCCTGCACTGTGACTTAAAAAAATGATCACAAATGAAGTTGTCTAAACCTACATATAGAGAAAACATCACTGAATAAATTACTGACTCAACACTCCTCAAACAGCTCACTCAGCTGCAGAGGCTGGATGAGCGCTGAGTGTCTGCTTGACTGCAGGTGCTGGAGTTTAGGTAATGATGATTTAGCACAACTTGGCCAAATTTTGTTAACTTTAAATAATAAATCAGATGTTTCGTCTCGACACTTCCTATTTAAGGTCCTCTTACTTGACTAATAGTTTTCCCAAATACTTCTTTACTCTTACTCTTAATAATTTCTCTGGCCACAATATGATACATCACACCCCTTTCAGCAAACCAATCCTGAAGTGTGTAGTGCAGTAAATCCTCGTTTTCATGGTTTATTTTGTTAATCAGTAAATAGAGTTGTGTTCCATACCTCCTCCGACAACTCCGGTAGTGGAGGCGGGTGGGGACGGGTCCTGGTCGGTCAGGGCTCTGTAGCGGATGGAGCCGGTGCAGCTGAGACTGCTGCCCCCATCCTCAGAGCGAGGGGAATGGAGGAGACCCTGCTGCTTGGACAGAGCTATTACCTGGAACACAAACACGCACACTCAGGAAGACCATTACAGGGAAAAAAAAACAAATCTGCACATCATAATCATAAGACTCTTTACTCTTACAAAACTTGACTTGCTTTAATTACAAGTTTGTTGTATGGCAAGAAAACATGTTAGAGATCAATTTAGTACAACAAAGAGGTCATACAAGTAACTTTAAGACAATGTAAATGAAGTCAGCATTAACGTCACTAGGACCTGGATTTTGTAATAAGTCCTTATGTCAGAACCTCTCAAAACCTCTAGGATTCCCTCACTGAGCTGCAAAGGCTGCAATAGCACTGATTCATGATTGGCTGGAGGTGGTGGGGTTTAGACAGGAGACCATTCAGATCAGAGAGAGGCATTTTAGGTTTAAACACTGAAGACGAGATCGAGAATGGCAACCCAAATGCGAGGCTTATTCTGCTTTCTGACTGGATAATCATCACCAAATTATAACAAACTTGGCTATCATGTCTAATGTTATTTTAATGAAGAACAGAATTGTTATCAGTATTATCAACATGTGTGTGATCCCTGTACCTGCATGAGTCTTGGCTGCCCCCCGGCGCTGAGCGGGCGACAGGGCAGCGTGGTCTTCTCTGCCACACGGAGCCACTTCTCCCTGACCGAGCCCCCTCCGTCCATCATGCTGTCCTCCGACTCGCTCTCCTGGTCTTTACTGTTGGAGTTGTCCTCTTCTGGGATGTGCACGAGCTGCGACGAGCCGGGCCGTGACTGGATGGACACCCTGGCTCCTCCCCCCATGCCTGCGCCCCCGTTGTGGCTGTGGTGGTTGTGATTGGTCATGGGGACGGAGCTGGCCGCGAGCTTCATGTACTGCGCAGGTATGTGGGCCCCTGCACGCAGCTCCGCCTCCTGGCTGCTCATGGCCGGGAGGTGGGTCATGGCGCGCAGCTCCGCCTCCAGGCCCATGGGTGAGGGCTCTGAGGCGCAGCGCATTTCTTGGCTCCTCTGAGGACTGGAGCAGGGCGCCGGTCTGATCCCGTCCATCACCTGCAGGGACAGCTTTCGGTTGTCGTTCTTGTTCTTCCACTGGCTGAGCAGCTGCTTGGAGCGCGTGGAGTCCATGGAGGCGTGGATGGAGGCATGACGGCGAGGAACCCGGCCATCCTCCATAGACGAGCCCCCGTGAGATCTGACCAAACACAATATAGATTTTTGAGGGGGTATTACGTAAACATAAATTTTTTTTAGCTTTCTACTGTGTCATAACATTGTTCTCTCATCTAAAACAAGCCTGAAGAGGTTTTACATACTATCCCTGCATGTTTGAGTAATGTAGTGATCTCTCCCAAGCCTTAATCGTACCTCCTACCCAAGTCACTCCTCTTTCAGAGTGCTATTATAACACAATTATCCTGCTAATAAAACTACTAGTTGTTGTGTACAGTTTTGTGCCATGTTTTTGTATATTTATGGAGAATTGTCATGTGGGAGCATGGGTGACTTGTAGGCAGAGCATTGCACAGGTTCTTACCATGAGGAGGGTTCGAATACGCTCTATTTGCGCTTACGTCACAAACCAGGAAGATGTTTGGAAACACGTGATGACAGTTTCCAGTGTAGTTCCCGACACTGGGCTCACCGACTGACTGTGATCAAACCTACTGAAGTAAACGTGATCAGCAGTAAAATGAAGAAGAAGAAGTATGTACTGTTTGGAATCATTTTGAAATTGGCACTTCATCTCTTCTAATCGCATGTACCCAGTGCGCTCGGAGTTGTGCATCAGTACGGAAATGATGAAAACTGAGCTGTGGTTGTAATTGTTGAGTAGCCGAGCATAACCAAACGCAGCAATGACATGTAGATGAAGAAAACCTGGAACATTTTCTCTTTTTTCTAGATTTTGTCAGACTTACTACTGCAAACAGAGCCGCTTCCTCTTCTGTGTAGCTGTCGTCAGACTTAGCATCAGTTCCAGTTAGAATTATCCAGTGTCTTTCAGGAAAGTTGCATGCACCCTGCTTTTCACTGTCTCAAACTTTGTTTCTGCTGCTTGTTTACCATTTTCAGCTGCATATTTTGCTACTTGCAACTTGTAATCTGCAAAATATGATTTTCTTTTTGGGGGCATTTGTGTTCAGTCTTCTCAGTTGTCTTTATAAGTTTGTTTAAATTGAAATTTTCAGTGATACAGAAATAATGGTGTGATCAACTGACATGATACAGACAGGACAGAGGCTCTTTCTGCAGGAGACATGCGCAGTAGAGCCAAGTGACAGTGGTACAGGAGGAACAGGAGCAGCAGATACTGACACACAAGCCTAGAGCGACTTCAGTGTGAAAATGTTAATACATTAAAAGTTACAGTCCCAAAAATACAGTAATTGGGCAGTCTTTATTTCAATCAATTTGAATTTTAATAGGCTGTTTATTTTATGTTTTATGATTTCAATAAAAGTGACTATTGGCTTTGAGAGACAGTGAGCTAGTCTATAATGGCCAGGAGAGATCACAGAAAGCTCCAAACGAGTCAATTTCACATAATATCCCTCTTTAAGAAACTAAATCAATTACTTCTTCCGCGACTGATATTAATCCACTTGGAAGTGAATTTGATGAGACACAGTTTTTGACGCCGAGAATGCCCCGTGCTTGTTTGTTCGTGAGCTTGGGCTGATCTGCAGAGGAGCGGGGCCTGTCAGTCTGATGGACACAGTACATCCTTCACGTCAGCTGTTTTCACCTCTCCCACACACTCTAAGCTCAGACACACACACACACACACACACTGTTCTGAGACTCTGTTCTGGGACAATAGCTAACGTTCACATTAGACTGGAGCTCTGTGGAGGATGAGGAGGTGCGCTGTCATGGCCGGGGACTTTGATGAAGAGGGATTGGGATCAGCGCTGACGTGTGAAAGGCTCTCGTCACAACTGTCAGACACACAAAGGGCCACTATTGAGTCAGATGAAGCCTGTTTAAAAGACATGTGATACGTGATGTGATCTGAGGCGCTCATCTGATAACGAGAGAAGCAGCTTTTAATCAGGGCTTTTGTTGAGCAGAGACATGCATAAAGATGTGAGCCTCCAGGCGCTAAACAGGGGAGGAATATGAAAAATATGACTCGCAATCTGCATTTATTTTACTAAAGAAATTATCATCTATCCCCACTCAGTGGGCAGTGAACAAGTAAAGATTATATTACCTGACCTCCCAATTACACTCTGGTCACAACTAATGATGGTATAAAAAAACCAAGTGAAGTTCATGAGACTAGCAGTTATAGGAGTGAATTTGGAGCCCAGTTATAAGAAATAGGAGTTTATTTAAGGACAAAATAGTGAAATAAAAACTCCAGGATCATGTAGAGTGACAGTTACAGTGAGAGGGGTGACATTTTTTCAATTTAGAGTCAGTTGGAGTCAAAGTCACTCTATTGGACCACTGTAGTGAAGTGAGAGCTGAGCCAGAAGGCAAAGCTCTCGATTTACCCCTCAGTCTACATTCCTACCCTCACCTATGGTCATGAGCTTTGGGTAGTGACCGAAAGGACGAGATCGTGGATACAAGCGGCCGAAATGAGTTTCCTCCGCAGGGTGGCTGGCACATCTCACTGGGAGGAGGCCCCGGGTAAGACCCAGGACACGCTGGAGGGACTATGTCTGGTCTGGCCTGGGAATGCCTCGGGATCCTCCTGAAAGAGCTGGAGGAAATGTGTGTGGAGAGGGAAGTCTGGGCCTCCCTGCTTAGACTGCTGCCCCTGCAAACTGGCCCCAGATAAAAAGGAAGAAAATGGATGGATGGAGCCAGAAACGTCCCCATTTGGCATGCGGTCACTTCCTATTTGGTATGCGGCAGCTAGCGGGTTATCCATTTACAGCTATGTCCATTTACGTATAGACGGATTATTTGTTAATCAACCTGAGTGCAGAAAGCACCGCTGTCTGTGCGATTAACATGATGCTTTCAACATGTAATAAAATAAGTGATGATGCAAAATTATCACCAGTGAGTGGGATATGTCTTGATAACCCATATGCGTTAAATACAGGTGAGTGCGTAATAGATGAGAAGAAATGTCTCAAACTTCAGTGGCTGGACATCCATTCACACTTGATAGACGCACCTACTCCCGCCCCCTGAGAGAGCCTGAAATCTTGCAAGACACTGACATGATACAAGACATGACAGTGGCTCTTTCTGCAGGAGACAAGCATAGTATTGTGGGAAGTGACATAGTCTGATAATCTCTCTATCCAGTCTATGAGTCATCGTTAATTTTCATTGAATTATTTTATTATTCTTGACCTAGTTTTATTTTGTTATTTCTCCAGCTGTGGATGTGTTTGATGTTACCTGGGCAGAGTGCTGCTGTTGAACGTGCTCATGTTGTCACGATTGCCGAGGGGACTGGGGGGAGAGATGACCTCCACCTCGGCACTGGCCCTCTTCATGTTCATGGAGGGTTCCCGGTACGAGGCGCTCCGGGTCAGGATGGGCAGCTCTGAGTTGGGGATCAGGGTGTGAGAGGAGGTCCGGGTAATGATGGGCTCTGTTTGGCTGGGGACCAAAGTGTGGTGGACTAACACAAGAAAGACATAAGAAGAAACAGTAAACATTCCAGGCAAAACAATAACCACATAATCCAGCAGAAATGTTATACGATGGACCTACTACAATGCCAGATAATAGACCTTTTTCACAATGGCTGGAACGTTTGTGGAATTTACGGTTAGTGGTTTTCTATGGCAACATGTCTGTGGAAATGTCTCGCGTATTCTTCACCAGCTTCATAAATCTGCCCCATCACCAAAGCTTCAACCAACAAGGTCGACAAAGGATAAACATTCTTCCATGAACAATTTATCCACAACTATCAAGATAAGAAAGACGAAAACTTAAAGACGAACAACGACGACGCATTAGTGAACTACAGAGCAAAACTAATGTTATGATATCCTAGAGATGTCTAACATTCGAATTGCACAAATCTGTCTATCTGTGCTGATATCAACATCATGGAATACATTTTTTATTTTAATTGTAGAATCAGTCTGAGTGAACAAGTTACTTATGTTTAATTCATGACCATAATGTTAGTTTTGCTCAGTAGTTCACTAATGTGTCGTCATTGTTCGCCTTTAAGTTTTCGTCTTTCCTACCTTGATAGTTGTGGATAAATTCTTCATGGGAGAAAGTTTATCATTTGTGGACTATGTTTGGTTGAAGATTTGGAGATGGGGCAGACAGATTTTAGTCCAATTTTAGCTCAATTTCTTTTCTCTCTGCGACTAGGTCAGGAATCGGAATACACTAGACAGTTTGCAAGAACCCTGAACCCAGCTCAGTGAAGAGCTGTGAAGCCATGATGTCAAACTCAAGCGCCTGTCTGGGTCCCTTTTGTAGAACAGCACAACAGTAAAAAAAGCGGTCGAGATGGACGTAGATGAAGACATACATTCTGTGTTGGCAATGATTCCCAAGATCGAGGATTTAAAGTCGGAACAAAGAGAATGTTTGATGAATTTTATCAAGGAGAAAGACATTATTGCCCTTCTTCCTATGGGATTTGGCGCATTAAATACGTCACGGCTAAATAGCAGCTATTGGATAAATAAAATAAGTACCCACCTACCGTTGAGCGAACAAATCATAATGCTGTGAGGAATCAGGCTAGGCAGATTTATAAAGCTGGTGGAGTATACACAAGACATTTCCACAGACATTTTGCCACAGAAAATCATTAACTAGAAGTTCCACAATCCTACACTTCCAGTCATTGTGAAAAAGGTCTCTTCTTAATTCAGAACTTTTTCTATGGCTCCAGTATTACCACACTTGCTGTAATATGACAGCATTGTATTGATGTGGTATTGTCTGTGTACATGTGTTTACCATATACTATCTGTCACATGCATCGATACCAATGATGAATGTTACCCGGGTGACTGTTGCTCATGGCTGACTGGCTGACGTTGGGTAGGGAGGAGAGGGGGGGCTCTCTCAGAATGGGCAGAGAGGGTCGGCATCTGGAGCGGTCTTGACTCGGCTGGAAGTTCCCCACCGCATACACGCCCTGTACAAAACACACACAAAACCGTTACTATTTTTACCGTCTTAATAACATGAAAAACAAAACTAGTTCTTTTGAAACAGTGGTCCAGAGTTATTCCTCTCTTATCTTATGCATCCCAAGCATCGTAATTATTCAGGCCTAACAACAACTTCCATGCTAAAAGTGCACAGACAATAAAATGCTTTCTAATTAGTGCAGACAATACGCACTAGACTTATTTTTGACTTACCACTACTACTGTTTCTATTTCTTTTTTTTTTTATAACTATGTTTTTATTGGTTTTAAGTAACATTTCAAAACATACAAAAAAATATAAAATCAAAAAACAATGTAACAACAGTCTGGAGTTACAGGTTCTTATTTAAACATGCATTTGGTATTAACATTTGTGTGCACTATGTTGTTTTTCTGGTGTCATTGATGAATATATTCCATTTTCCCCATTGCTCATAGTATTTGTACCCTTTAAGTTTAAGATTGCGTGTTATTCTTTCCATCATTCAAATAATCTCCACAATCCTGATCCAGTCTCGTGCAGGTGGATCTGGTTGTAACCAATTCTTTGTAATTGCCTTTTTAGATGCAGCTAAAATAATATTTGCCAAATACATGTCCTCGTCGTTCCTTACTGCATCAGATATATTTCCCAGATACATCACCAGACATGTGTTCTCAATTCCATATCCCAGAATAGTCCTTAAAGTTGTGTTCAGTTGTTCCCAATATACCCTAATTTTCAGGCAACTCCAAAACACATGTGTGTGATCAGCGTCCATTTCTCCACACAACCTCCAGCACTCTTGGCACTCTTGTGGGGTTCTATTTCTACATGCAAAAAACAAAAACCCACAGATATCGGTATCAGTTTAATATTCTTCTAATATATTTTGTCACAGTAAATGTTTCAGTGATCCAGCTCTTGTGTTGCTTTGTGAAATGTACCTGGAGTATAATCCTGTGTGTCATGAGTCCCAATGGGTCTGTGTGTTTGTGCTGAGAGACGTTCCTGGAGACATGGAGCCCAGACGCTCTCTTTCTTTCTCTCTCTCTCTCCATCCCCAACAACCAGTGGTGTATAGTGGGGATTTTTTTAAGTTGGGGTACGTGATTCGTGACATCATCGATGTGATGAATCCCACTCCCCTCCCATCCTCCTCCGCCCCAAAAGCCATATACTCAATTTGACATGCCGAAATACACACAGGTGTCATATAGCTTGTTTGTATATTTAAAAAAATCACTTTCAGTACAAACATAAAAGTGCCAGGAAAGAAAATCTGTATCTGTAATATTTTATGTTTTTTTTTTTTTTACTCAAAATTATGCGGAATTGTGTTATTAACATTAATGCCGTTCATAATCACAACACATGAACCAGGACTCAACCAGAAGGACTAAACCAGGACTGAAACAGGACTGAACCAGGACTGAACCAGGACTGAACCAGGACTGAACCAGGATTGAACCAGGACTAAACCAGAACTGAACCAGGACTAAAACAGGATTGAACCAGGACTGAACCAGGATTAAAACAGGACTGAACCACGACTGAACCAGGACTCAAACATGACTGAACCAGGACTAAAACAGGACTCAAACATGACTGAACCAGGACTAAAACAGGACTGAACCAGGACTAAAACAGGACTGAACCAGGACTGAACCAGGACTGAACCAGGACTAAAACAGGACTGAACCAGGACTAAACCAGGACTGAACCAGGACTAAACCAGGACTAAACCAGGACTAAACCAGGACTAAACCAGGTCTAAAAGGACTAGAATTAAACAAGGTCTAAACCAGGACTAAACCAAAACTCTTAATCTTGGACTTGAGAGCGAGAGAGAGAACCCCGAGCCCCCAGAGCATGGTATCCACAAAGCGCAATCGAGCTCTGCGCCAGTTCTTTCTCCTGTGGTCACCGGGCGGTCTATGCGGGCACAACTCTGGGCCCATCCCCACACTCAGTCCTGGTTCAGTCCTGGTTTAGTCCTGGTCTCTCATGTCTCAGGTCACTATAAGACACTAGTGCAGATATCATGAGTCTATGCATGTTGTTTTCATCATTGCCAGTAGCTCCGGTTTGACATTTAAGTTGTAGCTATTTTATTTATATTTGTTATTTTTTTATATCTCACGTCAGGAGAAGTGGGTGGATGGCGTTCGCCCCCGCGTACCACACCCACTACCTACCACCTGCCACCAAGCCTCCCAACACCCATCGAAAGCATTCCGACATATGGCTGCACATCACGGTACGGAGCCTGCACAGCTGCTGAAAAGAAGGACCTGCAGCAGAGAGTGGCGAGAACAGCTGAGAGTCGAATCTGGCCGCTGTCTCCTCCGCACACGCGCCTCCAACATCCTGCAGGACCCCACACACCCCGGGAACTGCCTCGCCTTTGCTCTCCCCTCAGGAAGGCGTCAAACTCCCCTCACACGCACAAACACAAACCCACAGTGGACGTGTTTTTATTGGTGTGGATGTGAGAATGTGTCTATATTTATTCATTTTTACTGCTGCAGTTTTGCTCTGTCGAAGTTTCGTTGTATTTTGTAGAATGACAACAAATCTAATCTAAAACACTCCCTCTCTCCTTCTCTTCGTTTCTCTCCCTCCCTCGCTGTATCTCTCGCCCTCCCGCACTTTCTTTCTCTCTGTTTCTTTCCCCCCTCTCTGTCTCTTCTTCTCTCTCCCTCCTCTCTCCCTTCCTCATTCCCCTTTTTCTCTCCCTCCTTCTTTCTCTCTCTCTTTTTTTAAAACCCTTTCTCTCCTCTTCTCTTTCTCCTTCCCTCTCCTTCCTTCCTCAGTCCCCTTTTTCTCTGCATCCTTCTTCCTCTCTCTTCCCCTACTTTCCCTCCCTCCCTCTCGTTCTCTCTGTTTCTTTTTCTGTCCCTTCCTCCCTCCCTCTCGATCTCCCTCCCCATCTCTCTCTCTCTCTCTCTCTTCTCTCTCTCTTCCTCCCTCCTTTATCTCCCACTCTCCCTGTCTCTCCTCTTTCTTTCTCTCTCTCCCTCCTTTATCTCCCTCCCTCCCTCTTGATCTCCTCCTTCCTCATCCCCCCATCTCTCCCTCCTTTCTCTAGCTCCCTCCCTCCCCCTCTCTCAATCTCCCTCCCCACCTCTCTCCTTACTTCTTTCTTTCTTTATTTATTTATTTCTCTCTCCCCCTCCTCATCCCCCCTCCCTCCTTCTCTCTCTCTCCCTCCTTCTTTCTCTCCCTCCCTCATCCCCTTCTCTCTGCCTCCTTCTTTCTCAGCCTCTACCTCTTTTCGCTCTCTATCTCCCACCCTCACCCCCTCTTCTCTCTTTCCCTCTTTCTTTCTCTCTCCCTCTCTCCCTTCCTCCTGCCTATAGCCTGTAGTCCTTCTCACAGTCCTGTACTCCTGTGTATTATATGTGTATTATATGTGTATTATGTGTGTGTGTTTGAGCATGTGTGTGTGCGTGTGTTTGTGTGTGTTGTGTGTGAGCGTGTGTGGGCCGGGGAGGTGAGTGGAGTGGGAGGATACACACACATTCGGAGACTAAAGAGGAAACACAGCCTCCTTCACGTCCTCACTCAGGCTCTCTCCTCTCCCTCCATCTGACTGCACTTGGAGCTGCTCTCGGAGAAACAAAGCAATTGTGTTTTTTTTTTTTTTATTACCGCACAAACTGTGATCACAAACGAGCGGCCCACAACGGCAACGACCACTCCAGAGATTTGGGCCATTTCACGTGCGAGAGGCCGGCAATGAAAACTCCACTAACTAACAATAATAGTGGCTCATGGCTTACCTTTTGAATTATTTAAAAGCCCATATTACACTATTTTCTGATCTATGTTATAATGTTTCCTCATCACAAACAGACATGGATTGTGTTTTGTTTCATTTCATGTTTAACACACAAAAACTGCATATGTGGCTGATTTCTTCTCAAACACCTTGTGATGTCATGTGGTAATACAGGAAGTGCTTCACTGTGTTTTAAAGTCCATGTAGCTTCACTAGAATCATCTGCATTATTTCAGATCTGAAAATTCCAATCTCTACTGAACTAAAGGTAAATGGAGCTGTTAACTTGAAAACTACATGGCATCATAAGGTGGAACAGAGCATTTTGAGATTTGCCTAAATAATGCAGGATTACTCAAACATGTGTGAAAGAAACAAAACACAACTCCAGGTCGGTTTTTGATGAGGTAACAGCAATATAACATGGCTTAAAGAGACAGTCCGAAATTTTGGACATAGGACCTCATTTCCTAGCGACCCAGAGTGTTGGAGACGTTTGGAGACACTTTTTAAAATATTCCATCCAGTCTTTGTATTTGCAGAGGTCGCTGGTGCTAGACTAGTGCATGTCAGTGCCCATAGTTATTTCGGGTCAGTATTATTGTGGGTACTTTTTCTTTATATTAATGAGGAGCTTTTGTTGTTTTCCTGAAGATGTATTCTAAATTAGTTAGTTATTCTTTGCAACTAATATGTTTTAACTATATTATAGAACAGTTTTTTAGAAGAATCCTGCTTTTTGGTTGTTGTAGCATTAATTAGTTTCAATATTGGTAAATTATAAAGGTTAATTTATACTGCTTTTCCACCTTCAAGACTCTAACTAATTTACATCAAGGAACCAGGCACCCATTTACATACTCACACAACAGTGTATACAGACATTGGGGGCGAGATGGGTTAAGTGTCTTGCCCAAGGACATAACAACAGTATTCATCTGTGCAATGTGGAATCATGTTTATGTCAAGAGCAGAATTTGAACCACCAGCCTTCGGTTCAGTGGACAAAACACTCTACCCACTGAACTATTGTCGTCCTAGATCTAGATCATTGTTGTTTTCATTTACAACAAAGCTCAATGCTATAACATTTTAAATATGGAGCATAATTATAATATTCAAATTACAATCATTCATATCCATAATATTTTTGTCAGCAACTTTAATAATTATCGTGACATAACCATTACAATTATTAACACTGACCAGATAGACGGCGATGGCGGCCCCCAGGAGCCAGCCGCAGTACACATCCACGGGGTGGTTCCTGAACTGGATGAGGCGGGTCAGACCTGCGAGCACGGCCAGCATGACGAAGGAGAAGACGAGGAGAGGCTTCAGGAGCTTCGCCGAGTCTGTGAGCACCGTGTTGAAGTACATCTGCAACACACAGCAGCATCAGCACTGATAAACGGACTGTAGTACTCCATTTTATGACCTGTGTTATAATGTTGTTTCTTCATCACAAACAGACCTGGAGTTTTGTTTCATTCACACATGTTGAACACACAAATCCATATTTAGGCTGAGGCTACGTTTACATATAGCCGTGTATGTTGAGAAACGAATATTTCCCTTCCTCCATTTTCCAAAATAACATCATGCACACAGCATCGTTTTCAAAAAAGTTTTAGTTTACATGAACCCGCATAAATAGGCCATCGAGTGCCATCATAACTATGCCAAGCCTCTGGGCGACACCTGGATTAGATTAAAAATGTAGCATTTATTTCTATACAGTTGTAAGTATTGCTCAAAAATACCTTGAAAAACGTTCATTACTGAGCAGGCTCATCTCTCCATAGATATGTTAAGGAAATGGCAAAATTGCAGACCTCCAAGCCTCATTCGTCTCTGTTCATGGATATGAAACATCAGCTGTGTGCAAATGCAAACACATGAAAAGTGTTTGCACCAGAAGAAAAGCGACTGCTGCTCTGAATGCTCCATCATCATCAGAGCAAAAGGTAAAACATTGGTTGCACTTTTGGCACGTCAGCTCCTAAAACTCTGTTTATCTCACTTGCAAACGCAAACAGTAGTTTTACAGAATCTCCACTCTAGCAGGAGTTTTTAGAAAGATTTGTTTTCAGAGGCGAATTTGGTGTTTGAGTGTAAAAGATTGGGGCAAACGAAGTTTCAGTTTTTAAAAATACCCGCACACATGTTAACAGGGCCTGAGTTCTTCTCTTAAACTGAAAACACTCTGTTCCAACTTGTGATGTCCTGTGGTAAAACAGGAAGTAATCCACTGTGTTTTTACATTCCATACACCTACACTAGAATCATTTGGATGATTGCAACCCTGTAATTGCCATTCTCTACTGAACTAAAGATAAAAGGAGCTGTAAACTTGAAAATGACCACTTCATGACATCACAAGGTGGAAAAGAGCATTCTGAGCTTTGGAAATGAAGACAGACTGAAGGCTCATGTATGCTTTACTTTCTAGACACATACGGATACGCTTCTGTCCTCTGTGTTGTACTGTCTGTCTCCTCAGAACATGAAGAATCTTAGCCCTGGAGCAGTACCTGAGCTGACCACTGGGGACAGTAGTGAACACTTTTTAAAAAGTGACTAGAATCAGCTGCAAAACAAATTCCCTCATCTTGTTTTCTGGGCTTTTTTCCAGTAGATGTGTTATGCCCTCAGGCCTCCAGTTTGTTGACTTGTTTTGTGTGTGTTTTAATTTCTTTCTTGTCCCCGTGGATTCCTGTTGTGAGAGCCCTGGTCCCTCATTGGTGGGGCACTTCTACACCTGCCAATCCTGCCTCACCTCCAGCCTCCTCCCCTTTTGGTGTGTTTCAGTGTCTCTCTGGTGTCAGTCACTCATTTTTGTTTTTAGTACGTGTCTGTCTTTGTTTATGTTGAGACATTTGTTTAGTTTAGTTCTGTTTTGGGACTTTTTATTTTGTCATTCGATTCTGTTTGTGGGTTTTTGTGGTTTTATTTTGGGGCACTTGTGATCTAGTTTTGTTGTGTCCCTTAGTTTAGTCACTCATTTTTATATAAGCCTACTTGTTATATGTTAATCCTGTTATTTTATTTCTTAGTTTAGGTCATTTTCTGGACATATTTTACCCTGTTTTAGTTAAGTTACCCTTTTACATTCCTGTTAAATAAACATGACTTGATTTATACCATTATCCACTTTGTTTTTTTGTTACTTCCTGACCCTGGCGAGCTGGATCGTAACAAGATGTGATCTAAAACCAACCGTGTTTGTTTATTTGTTTTGGTCAATTCTCAAACTGACTGAGAAACGTTTGGAACATAGACTAGATAAAGAAGTGGACTAAGCGAGTGTGACGTCACCCATAGTGTTTGGCTCCACTCAAATGAAACTCCCGATGTTGACATGACAGGAGCAGATTTGAAGCCAGGCTCTATATTGTGAATAGGACTTTTTAACTGACAAAATAGAGAAAAAAAATAAACAAACACTAGGATTATGTAGCCCCGGTTAATACGAACATGTTAAGACCAATTATGTCTATGGTGTGGAAGTGTAAATGCAGAGTCATTACTACACTTGGAACACACAGATTTGTTTAGAGCCTTAATAATCCAGGATTAATCAAACATATGTGAATGAAACAAAACACAGTTCCAGGAATGTTCTTGATGAGGTGTGGTGGATAAGTCTAGCCTGATTCATGAGCCGGTTCCACTTTGTAGAAACCGTCTGACCTTGCAGTGTTAGAATTCGGTCGCTCGATGGTAGGCGGGTACTTTTTATCATTTAACCAATTGCTGCTATTTGGTCGTCACATATGTAATGCGCTGCTAAAGGTGCAAACTGGTATACTAAGCTTTTCCCAAATCCTGTAGGAAGAAGGGCAATAACGTCTTTCCCCTTGAGGAAATTTGCCAAACATTCTCTTTGTTCTGGCTTTAAATCCTCAATCTCAGGAATCGTTGCCAACACAGAATGTATGGCTCTTCGCTGATTGGCTGGTGCCCAAACTCACATTTCCTCGTTTTTTGTGAACCGTCTAGTGTATTTTGATTCCTGACCTAGTTGCTGGAGAGAAATGAAATTGAGCGAAGGCACTAGGTGGCGCCAGCCTGGCTAGGATACCTCTGCCACCACTCCAGAGTGTCAGTATTATTTAATTTAATTAACATTAAGTTAATTACATCACACATCATTTAATTCACTTATTTTAGATTTATATTCTAATCAGGGTGCACACATTTTAGTTAATATAAGTCTGAATTATGTACTTATATTTGGTCTTTTTGTACTTCTTGAGTGCCGGATGGAGGACCTTTGGGAGAGACCATCCATAAATCAACAAAGGGGGGTTCATTTGTCTAGTTGCTTTAAGGGCACTTTATTATCACTTATTATTTTCTGTACTATAATTATTTGCCTTTTTGTTACTTTGATTAAGTTATTAGTTTTAGTTTTATTTAGTGTAAATCCCCTTCTCTTGTGTTCAGCTTTAGTTGGTCCTCATGTAGTTAAACACCCCTGCTCTTTGTCTTTTGGGTTAGTTTATTTCTGTTCAGTTTGATTTAAGTTACCCCAGTTGGGCCCAGTTTTTTTATGTTCATGATTTGCCTAATTTTAGCCTTTGTTAAATTATCTTTTTTTTTTACTTTATCAAATTTAAACTTATTTTTATACCTTGTGTTTGCCTTTCTGTTTGGACCACTACATGAGGAAACAACATTATAACACGGCTTAAGCTCACAAGAATCAATTTTGTGTAATATAGTTGCTTTAATTAAAGGCATCTCCAGGGATACAAGCAAGTGGCCACCAGAAAAGTTACATATTACAGCTTTATGTTGCATACACATCCATTTCCCACTTACTTTGTGACGTTTGTACTTACAGAGATATAGACGGCAGCGAAGGCAGCCAGGGTGGCGTGCTGGGACGGAAAGGACTTCCTGCAAAACACAGATAAACAAAGTGCTCTTTATGCTAATGCTAATAATGAGACAGCTGAGGAGCGTATGAATATTCATGTGACACCGCTGACTTTCAAACTAAGTGCTGTGTTCAGGAGGAAAAGGTTTAATACATGCAAGAGGACATAATCTGCATATAATCAGGAAAAACGATATTCACTCAAAACTTCTAAATGAACTTTAACAATATTGTAATTTAAGAGAAGACCAAAACTGATACTTTGCAAAGACACCACACCCAGGGAGTTCTTCGGTTAGATACTGCTATTCCGACGGCTATTTAGACACTGAGGTAAATTGTCGGAGTAGCAGCATAAACATTATTTTTCAAACGTCTCACTACTTCAAGATTGTTTTTTTTTTTTATTGTCAGAGTAGCAGCACTTTACTATTTTCCAAACATTTCACTTTTTCATGGATTCCTTCATTTTATTTGTTCGAGCAAGGCACAACATCAATCAGAAACAATACATTAAAACAAACAACAAACAAACAAAAAAACAAGGATATGTACATGTACATATTTGGGACCTGGTGCTCAAAAGGAGTAGGATAAAGTTTTAAAAAATTTACAGTGTCCTACCCCAATTGTTTTACATAATCACGTGGTTGACACTATTTTTTTAGTTTTTTTTTTTTTAGTTAGTTAGTTAGTTAGTTTTTCAGTTCCTTTTGTTTCTTTTAGCTGTTGCTGCACCGTAACAATGAATTTAAGCAAAGAAACTTGAGATTTTGATATACTGTAATGGCCCACAGTACTAATGAGAGACTTTTGACGATACAATATCATGATATTTCGGTTATTGTTAGGCCTACATCCAATCAAAGCTAACTAACTGCTGCGTGCTGCATTTTCCCTAGAGGGAGTTCAGTTCAATATCAGCAGATGTAATTACAGCAAATATTAAATATCTACATTTGTGAGACTAACCACAGGTGACTAGGAAAATACTGTTTAAAAGTGTCACTGCTGAACATTCCATCATAGAGATACATGTAGAACACCCTCGGTGTGATGTTGCTGCAAAGTATTAAAGACAAGAATCTAACAAAATCCAAAACTCTCAGTATGATACTTTCACGATATGCATCACAGTACAATATTTATTACGATATTTTGAGGAGGCTAAAATAGTGAATATGCTACTTTTTCTTTTTAAAATGCCTTGACAAGACTTTGTTTTGTCACAATCCAAAGATTTAAAAGTAATGACAACAGTTATTTCTTCTTGTAGTTTGCACTGAAACAGAGCAAAGGATGATGGTCTATGCAGTTCCCTCAGATTTTTTTTAGCTATTGCTGGACTAAAACTATTAATTTAAGAAAATAAACTTGTAATTTCGATATATTGTGATGGTCCACGATATTATTGAAAGACTTTTGGCAGTACAATATCACTTTTACATCCATAATTGATAGCCTGGTTGTTTTTGCATGAGCTTTCCTGCAGGTGTAGTCTTGTGAGTGCAATTTGGGTCAGATACACAGAGATAAAGAATACTTTTGAGAGCTTTTGCTACACTCCCCCAAACCAATCAATCAGCAGCACACGTCTTTAGTCCACGGAGGGTTTAATTAGTCGACTAGAGCCTTAGATTGTAGAGGTCTGAACTATAGGCATCACGGAGTCACAGGGACATTTTAGTGCCGCCACATAACACCCATTTAGTCAGTCCTTCTCTGTGCTGTTTGTTTCACACTTTTAACACTCCCATAGGAGCAGGGGGGAGGTGGGTGAAAGAACATATGTGCCGCGTGTCACAGAAACTTCTATTTAAAGACTCTGTACCTAATTTTACTGCTTTAAAACATGAAAAACAGAGCTGGTTCATTTTACACAGTTTGCAGTGGTCCAAAGTTATTCCTCATTTACCTTATGCATTCACAACATCCTAATTATTTACCAAGGTGAGTTTATAATTGCTTTGCACAACTTTCAGAGAACAACATGATCAAACACCGACATGTTAACGCACACTTCTTGAATCTCAGACTATAAAACGCTTTAAAATGGAGGCAGACAGTACACAGCAGACTTATTTTGACCTTAAGACCTGATTATATGATTTATCTATACTGGGGCATGACACATTTTCACACATTTGACACATTCAGATACATGAATTAAAAAGGTACAGAGCCTTTACTGATTCCCATAGAATAATTCATCTTCTGCATTTGACCCATTTCTTATTATCGCTGGCGGGACTCTAACTTAAAACCCACGAGGACCTATCTCTAGATCTTGAGCGAGGCTTGGTCAGAACTGCCATAGCTGGAGGGTTATTCTATTATTAACTATATTGTGCATGTTTTTGAAGAAGACATATTGTGCTTGTGTCTGTTATATAGTTATAATCTATGACACCCATGGATTATTAGGTTATTTAAAATCAGAACATTGATCTAAAACAGGGGTCATCAAACTAAGGCCAACTCTAGCCGACCACGCTCTATGAGGCAATCCTCAAAAGTTGTCATTGGTCTATTTTTTTTAAATTACTTTTTGGCAAATAACACAACTGCATCTTGTATTTTGTAGATTTTTTTTTTCAATTAAAATGATATTTATATTAAGTATTTATATTTTCATTTACATAATTATATGACATATTTACATTTGCTGCAGAATTTTCGTCACCTGACCAGCTCGAGATCAAACAGTGACAGTCAACACATGCACAAAGTACTGTAGTGCAGTTAAGGACTAGTTAAGGACACTAGTAAGGACCACTAGTAACAACTAACAATAAACAAATATGTGTGTTTTGATATAGTATTGTGGATGATTTCTACTACACAATGAGGCCTGCTGGTGGTGATTTTGGTCTGTTATACGGCCAACCCAACCCCGATCCCCATCACAGTCAGGAGGGTTAATGTGGCCCCCAGAGAAGAAAGTTTGGTGACCGCTGATCTAAAACGACCGCACTAATCGAGACCAAGACCTGTCTGAGATCACAGGGTCCCAAGACAGAGACAAGGCCAAGACCTCTGAGGGTTGAGACCAAGACAAGAATGAGACTTTTAAAGCCCGAAGTGAGACCGAGACCAAATCGAGACCAAATCGAGACCAAATCGAGACCATCTTTGTCATTTTCTACATTTATTTGTATTTTAGTTAATTTAAACATATATATTAATGTTTTTTTTAAAATCTAGCTCCATTTTATCATAATCCAAGCGCATTCAAGACCGAGACAAGACAGAGTCCAAGTGCCTTCAAGATCAAGACAAGACCGAATCCAAGCACCTTCAAGACCTAGACAAGACCGAGTCCAAGCGCCTTCAAGACCTAGACAAGTCCAAATCCAAGCTCCTTCAAAACCCAGACAAGACCGAATCCAAGCGCCTTCAAGGCCGAGACAAGACTGAGTCCAAAAGCAGCCGAGTCTGAGATGAGATCAAAAAAACTGTCTCAAGGCCAGGGAAGGAAACAAAGACCAGTCTCAAGTACTACAACACTAGATAAATAAAATTAAATTGGAGAAAGAAGTAAGTACGTCACAGTGGGCATGTACCGGTGGCGGTGAAAATAAGTGATTACAGATTGCTCAAACACAAAGCACAAATCACTTCAAATACAACTGAGAGGGTAAATGGTGAAGGAAAACAACTAAGATGGTTAAAAGCTCCGAAAAGTGGATTTTAAGTATGCATAGAAATCAACCTGGACACATTTGTTCTGAGTCAAAACACTCAGCCTCCACAGCACGTTCTTTTCTGTCATTTTCCCATTCTTAAAGCGTACTGGTCAATAAAATTCATACAAAAACTCTACTGTGAACCCTGCAGCAAAAACACTCAATGACAAGTCCAAAAGCTTCTATATCTGACCTCATTTAACGCCGTGTAAATCCAAATCCACACTGCTGATGCTGCTCCATTAAGAGTCAAGGGCAAAACCGAGTCACACCTGAGGCCATATGTTCTGCGCTGGCCTCTTTACTCCCCCTCATATTCAGACGCGTCAGAAACACAAGAGCAGATGATTCCACTGCCCTTTAAAACCACAGATCAAACTCCTATGGCTGGTTAAGACCCGGTTTAGTCCTGGTTCAGTCCTAGTTCAGTCCTGCACACATCATGTCTGATCTTGGCCTGGCTTGAGTTCTGGTTAAGTTCTGGTTCAGCCCTGGTTCAGCCCTGGTTCAGAGCTAGTTCATTTCAGTTCTGGTTTAGTCCTGTTCAGTCCTAATTCAGTCCTGGTTCAGCCCTGGTTGAGTCCTGGTTGAGTTATGGTTCAGGCTTGGTTCAGTCCTGGTCCAATCCTTGTCCAGTCCTAGTTCAGGCCTGGTTTTGTCCTGGTTTTGCCCTGGTTCAGTCCTAGTTCAGGCATGGTTGGGTCCTGGTTTAGTCCCGGTTCAGTCCTGGTCCAATCCTCATCCACAGTCCTAGTTCAGTCCTAATTGAGTCCTGGTTAAGTCCTGGTTTAGTGATCGTTTTGTCCTTGTTCAGTCTTGGTTTAGTCCTGTTCAGTCCTAATTCAGTTCTGGTTGAGTCCTGGTTTTGTCCTAGTTTAGTCCTGTTCAGTCCTAGTTCAGGCCTGGTTGAGTCCTGGTTTAGTTCTGGTTCAGGCTTGGTTCAGTCCTGGTCCAATCCTCATCCAGTCCTAGTTCAGCCCTGTTCAGTCCTGGTTTAGTGATGGTTTTGCCCTGGTTCAGTCATAGTTCAGGCCTGGTTGAATCCTGGTTTAGTCCCGATTCAGGCTTGGTTCAGTCCTGGTCCAATCCTTGTCCACAGACCTAGTTCAGTCCTAGATGAGTCCTGGCTGAGTCCTAGTTTAATCCTGGTTTAGTTCCGTTTATAAACTCATCTTGGTGAATAATTCGGATGCTCTGAATGCATTAGTTAAGTGAGGAATAACTTTGGACTTCTGCAAACTGTTGAAAATGAACTAGTTCTGTTTTTCACACTTTTAGGACAATAAAAATCAGATACAGCTGCTTTAAGACCTGTGAGGTGATCGCTGTTGTGA